TATATTATTTTTTTATTTGAAAAATTAAAAATATTCATTTCACACATTATATTATTGACTTTTATTATAAAAATTATAAAAATGCATCTTATATCTAAGGAAAATCATGGCAAATAGAGCAATTTGTTGATGTGACCGAATGTTCAAGACACATTGGCTTCTTACATTTGTCGCACAGCTTTCTGGTTTTTCTACGGCGTTTTTCCTCTTGTGCGTAACATAAATAGCAAGATCCGGACACAGGTTTTGGCGTGCGCGCTGCGGCAGATGTTGATGCTGCTGTTGACACCATTGATTCCACCGGTCGGTTGAAATATGCTTCAATAGCAATTTTAGTCGAAAAATTTCGCGTCACTTGACGATTTATGGCTCTGGCTTCAATAATGGGCATACACAATGCTTCAGCCAAGCTGCGCAGGATCTGCTTACGCTTGTTGTTTGTTCAAATCGTAGACAATGTAGGCTGCAAGAGCTGTAATGTCCAACATGTTGAAGAACATCGCTAGTGGCCATCGTTTTGTTTGTCTTTGTGTTGGATATTCCGCAAACATTTGGTCCATTCGATCAACACCACCTTTGGTACGATTATAATATTCAATTATTTCAGGTTTCCCACTGTCAGCTATTTCAGCATCATTATGCATGGTCGAAAGCAAAATTACTACTTTATTTTTTTTGGGAACATAAGAGCACATTGTCACATTATTTTTGAAGCCAAATGTCGTTGAACCAATTGTCCTGTTTTTGTTCTGCTTCATTTCTTGAGGAATATATGATTTGTTTTTGCGCAAAGTTCCAACGATCGTGAGTTTCCAGGTGAGAAGCAGTTCTGCAACTGGCAAGGTCGTAAACAAATTGTCCATTGTAATGTTTCGGCCACTTCCTTGGTATTTGGCAGACAAATCCTTCACCACTCGTTCGCCTTGGTTCGTTTCCCTACCAGTTTCTGCTTGGCCAGTATATATTTGTCCATGCAGTGGATATGCATTTGTGGCATCGCAAATCCACCAAACCTTGATACCATATTTAGCAGGTTTTGACGGTATGTACTGCGTAAACCGTGTGCGTCCACGGTAAGGAAATAATTGTTCATCAATCGTCAAGCATGAGCTGGGCTTGTAATGTGCAACAAGATTATTGTTCATCATCGTCCACAACTCACTGATCGGTGCTGCTTTATCAGTTAGTAAGCGTGTTGCACGAGTGTTTTTATCGTCAAATCTTAGGAACCGCAATATCGAACAGAAACGGTTGACTCCCATTGTGGCGCGATATAAAGGATAGTTTTTGACGCTCCATAAATCTCGAACATGTTCTCCATTGCTATGGTTCGCACCAGTCATAATAAGTATGCCAAAAAATGCATACAGCTCTGTTATTGACACAGGCGTCCATGACTTAGGAGTTGTGTTTGGATGCGCATTGTTGTAAGCATTATAAGTTTCTTTTGCTAACTTATTTGTGTGGCGCATAATTATATCAGCCATTTCAACGTTCATGAAACATTTGAATGTTTGCTCTATTGACAACATTTCAGTGCATCTAGCTGGTCCAGAACGTTCTCTTATAATATTTTGTCTGAGTACCTGACGACTTACATTTGGTTCTTTCATCCACTCAGTACCATCACGTGCAACAAATTTTTCGGCACTAGCAGGTAATTCATTATTTTCTTCTACTTCTTCTTCTTCGTCGTCTTCTTCATCATCCTCATAGTCCGCATAATCAGGTAATACTTCTGCGGCACTTTGCGAAACTTCAGCATCGTCATCAGCAATTTCAATGTCATTGATTTGAATTTCTTCTTCATCTTCTGAGTCAAAGTCATAGGGAGCGTCATCGTCACAAATTTCATCAAATAAAGATTGTATATATGATTCTCGCTGTTCCTCAGTTATCCTGCATAATAAAAAAAATTAGTATATGTTTACATTGTTGCTTATTTTACATTTTTTACCTTCTATATGCTGCACTTGATAAATATTCGTTTCTTCTTGAAGTCATTTCGTATCCAGTTATTTATAGTTTCAGTTATATTTATTTTCACTTATATTTTCACTTCTTACACTTTTGAGCACCAAAACAATAATGAAAATATCAACAGGCAGCATTTATAACAACACCTCGTGTGAAAACAACCCTTGCAGCCACGATTGAGAGAATACAAAGGTTGCGCCGATCTCGGACCGTTATTCCTCTCTTAACGAATTTGACAGAATCGTCGATTGCATGACGTCACACTGGTGCATCTTGTTTACATTTTCCTTGCAACATTTTTTCTTCTTCTTCTATTCTTGCTCACGTTTTGGCATTTCTCTCTCGCAATTGCACCAGTGTGACGTCACACAAAATTTATTCTCAAAAATCCTCTCTGATCGGCGCAATCTTGTATTCTATCATTCTTGCCTTGCAGCTGCATATAAAATACAAAAACCAGTTATACCAGTGTATTTGCTACCTACGTACCCATACCTTGCGCGACCTTTTTGCACATATCTTTTGAACCAGGTAGAATATTTCAATGAAATAAAAACCAAAATGTGTATTCGTTATTACTCTACAAGTATATTATTATAAATTATATTATTATGTTTTGCATTTATCAGGACAACAACAAAAACAAAAATCCACTGTTGCATGTCCTGACTTTATTTGCCCATATCGCTGGAACCAGTAGGAATATTCGAATGAAACAAAAAACAAAATACTTGTTATATATTAAAATATACATTTAAAAAAAAAATCATAGAAATCGGTTGAATAAGCATTAAAAAAACCGCAAAATAAGGTCCCGGGTACAAACGTATCCCGGGTGCGTGTTTACGTGGTATTTTCTGGGTGTGTGTTCTAGGGTTAAGGCAGTAAAACAACGACCTTAAGTTAACATCAACCGAGGCCATATGTTGACAAGGGATGCAAAATCACAGTTACACAAAAGAACTGGTCAGATTTTTCAGAAATCCCTTCAATTCTGATGTAAAATATGATACCAAAAGATCATATGACCGGCAGATGTCTCGTAGAATTCCCAGAGAGGTTTGTTTTACACAGAAATTTGTGCTCTTTTATTTTCATTTTGACTCACTTCAGTGTTGGTTCCTTTAATTCAATTTGGCATTCGGTTTTTGGAATTTAAATAAGTTCTGAGCAAAAAAGTTTGTTTAAAAAAATACATATGTGACCATAGTGCTTGAAAATATTACTTTTTCCCTTACCCTAAACCTTTGGGAGTTGGCAAAAATGATGTTTGGTAATTTAGGCAGAATTGAATATGCGCTATCTGGGAAGACAATATCTACATATAATATTTATTCTGTTTGTTGGCACTATATCCAAACACAAACGCATCTTAAGTGTCTTAACAGTGAAACAATTTCTTATTTTCTAAGTTTGCGAATAAAACTTCACACTTAAAATTAAGACATTTATAACAAACATTTTATGAAGAAAATCCCCGTTACGGCCTTATTTAGAGAAAATATATTCGTTTAAAATAAAAAGAAGCGAAATCGGCCAATTTTATATAGCCCTGCCTGACATGAAAATTTTCTCCACAATAAGGCTAGTAGCCATTTCTAACAGATTTTGGGTGGCTTAGTCAAAAATGGAAACATATATACATATTTGTAATTTAAGAAAACAAGGAAAATAGCAAAATCGGCTAAAATCGGCTAATTTTTTTCTGCAAAACGGCTAACAAATCGGCTGCCAGCTAAATCGAAATTTCTCCGGCTGTTTGCTATCGAAACCGGCTAAATCTAGCCGGAAAACGGCTAAAATGGCAACACTGAACACCAACTCCAGCAAGCCTAGGTGTACACATACATACATACATGAATGCTATGTATGAAGAAGGTATGAAAAATTTCGGATTAATGTTATATGTATAGCAGCTATAACATGTCTGAGACCAGCTGGTTGTAATGCAATGATGGGCAAAACGCTACTCGCGAGTAGCGTCGCAGCGCTTACCGTGGAAACACAATGCCGGCGAACGGCGAACTCACCACAGCGAAATTGCCGCTGTCAAAATTAAAACACCCGCAATCCTATGAAATTGAACACAGCCAAAGCGAAATGCGAAGTTCGCTCGGCGGCGTTTCGCGGCGATAGATTTAATTCTATCGCCAATGCTGGGCGAATGCGGCAGTGCTTGCCAAAGGTGGCCGTAGTTTTTTTTTGTTTCAAAGTTTTAGAAGAAAACAACAAATTGACAGGATTAATTGTTGTTGGTTTGAAAATATAATAGTGGATTATTTTAATCTGGCTTAAAATAAGATGATTTATAAGAATTTATCTTTGTTTTATATTTATATTCTTATTATTTTCCAATTTCCAAATATAGGCTCGTTTTTTTAAAACATGGTAACCCAATTATAAGTGCGACGAAATCAGCTGTTTCTTCGGTTGTTTTAATTTATAGTAGCCAAACAAAAGAATGGATATCAACGAGATTCTGATCGAACAAATTAAACAAAATGATTGTTTATTTAATTTATCACATCGCGAATACAAAAATGTCCACAAGAAAATGGAAATTTGGGAATCAGTTGCTCAGTCCTTGAATTTGAGCGGTAAGTATAAATGAATTTACATGTGTATGTGCAAACAAACAAGTGATGTGCATGAAATAAGTAATTTTAAAGCCTGCTCCAAGTACTCCAGGATTTACAGGAAACCCTCTTTTCGCCTTTAATAAACCTTATGGAAGGTGACGTACGGGAACAGTTTCCTGTAAAACCTGCAAATCGTGAAGTACCTGGAACAGACTTATTAATAAACAATATTTCTACCAGCGGATGCATGTCGCAAGCGCTGGAAAGGGCTCCGAGATACATATAAGAAACGAAAGCGTTCTGAGCTCCTTGCGTCTGGAAGTGGCGCTCCCAATCCTGTTAAAAGATGGAAATATATGGAAATGCTATCTTTTTTGGACAACTACACTGATTCTAGACCGTAAGTATGCGCGTACTCTAAATAGTGTTGTTTAAAGCATCCGTATACATACATACATATGTATCTACAGTATACACATTTACATTTCCCCCTTTTTTGTGTTCTTGTTAATAAAACTCTTGCGTTTTTTGTAGAACGGTGGGAAATGTTGAATCAGATATTGTGTACGAAGATTTAGTGGATTGCTCCATGTCTACAATCGTGGATGAAGAGGACCCTCCGCCAAGAAAAGTTGTGACAAAGAAACAGGCAGACAACGAAATAACCTCGGCGTTTAAGGAAGCAATGAAACAATGTTCAGAAACCGTACAAAACTTAGCTAGTATTCCTTGCGAACAAGAAAAAGAACGCGATTCAACATCACTTTTGTTTGAAAGCCTGGCAAAAAAAATTTCCACAGCCAATATATCACAAGAAAATTTGCGCATTATTGAATGCAAAGTTGTTGCTTTAGTTTATAAAGAACTAAGAGAGTCCAGTGTTTAATTAATTTAAGACGCTACGTTTTTGTAATAGAAATGAGATCTCCAAGTACAAATGGATGTATAACATCTAATATTTATTGAATTAATTTGTAACATTAACAATTAAAGTATAACATCCAATATGTATTAAATTAAATGTACTTACATACAGCCTGCGATAAAACGATAGCACCTTAACATTTTGATCAGTTAAGACTATTTTTCTTTTGTTTTTTTTTTAATGTTAAATAATTTTTTATAAAAGTCCTTAGAAGCTATAAAACTGTATACCAAACATTTTTCTAGAAATTCTAAGCTTTGAATTTTCATGAAACTGTGGAATTTTTATAATTTTCGCACAAAGTTTGAACATTGTATTTGTATGACTTCGAAATGTTAAGGTGCTATCGTTTTATCGCAGGCTGTATATATGTATTTGAAATTAGTACAAAATTAGAAATATGTATATTTGAAAAAGTTGAGTTTTACGTTTTTCCTCTTTTGTCTTCAAGTACAAATCGATGTATAACATCTAAAATGAATTCAATTAAACTTATAATAATAGTAGAAATAAGTAAAAGATAAACACGGTCCGCTTGGGTAAGGTTTAAGTCAAACCTTGTTACTCATCAAATATTACTGAAGAAATATTGGAGAGGCAAGAACGTTGGGGTTAAACATCTACATATAGGTACAGTTGCGGTCAAAATAATAGCAACAAAATTCAGAACGGTGTTGC